CATAGGGCCAGCGAGGAAGGTGTGGGAGGGGTGGGAAGGGACATGGAGGGGTCTGGGGGCACGGGGAGGCTCAGAAGGGTCTGGGGAGGAGGGAGCTGGGGGCACGGTGGGCCTGGGGATAGCAGGGACACTGGGGATACCAGGGACTTGGAGGGGGGCACAAAAGGACTGGGGGGAGAGGGTTGGAGGACAGTCCAGAGAGCCATGGGGCACATGGGGGGCAGTTGGGGCTCCCCCCAGCCCCCCTGGTCTGCGCTGGGCAGGTCCCACACTGTGCCCAGGCACAGGGCAGCTGGATAACCCTTGGGGGAGCCCTCCCTGGGGTAGCAGGCACCCCCACCCCCCATCCCCGGTACCTGGGTACCCGAAGGCCTCATGTGCCCGTGCCCCAAAGGGGCCGTGCCGCCGATCGCCCTGGAAGCGGGGCTCGCCATGCCCCTGGCCATAGGCGCCGATGCGTTCGGCACGGTACGCAGAGGCTGAGCCGAGCGAGGCCATGGCGCCTACCATCCGCGCCCCCCCAAGGCCCCGGCCGCAGGGAGGGGGCCAGCCGCCTGCCACCACCGCCAGATGCCCATAATTAGGCACCCCGGCCCCAGGAATGCGAGATAAGGGCCGAGGCCTCACCGTCACCCTGCAGGGACCTGGCGGGGGGGAGTGCCGCTGCCACCGCCGACCTGCCACCCGCCCCGGACCACCGGGGAGGAGGTGCCCCCCACCCACAAGAAGAGGCGCCCTGCGCAGCACTTGCACGATGTACTTTATTCGAGACCTGGCGGGATGGAGGAGGGGGTGCCAGGCTGTGGGCACCCCACGGGTACCGCCACAGCGGAGCGCGGGGCAGCTCCTGCGGGTATGCACACGCGTGCACATGCACATACACTCCCAGGTGTGCACACGCACACACGCAGAGCAAAGCCCCCCACCCAACTGCAGGCACCCCGTACCCCCAGCATGTCCCAGAGCCGTGGGGAGCATCCACTGTCCCTGGAAAGGGATGGTGGTAGGTGGCAGGGAGCCCATTGGCGTGGCGTCGGGCCTGCTGGTCCCTGCACCCTCTCACAGCTTGGCCATGCAGGGAGAGGGGACCCAGCCCTGTGCCAGGCACCCCATGGCAGGGAGGGGGAACGGGTGCTGTGCTGGGTAGAGGTTGATGGGGGGGTGCTGGGGGGGCGTGGGAACAGGGGCGCAGCAGGTGCTCAGGGCACCCCGGGGTGCTGGGCCAGGGAGAGCTGTGGCCGGGCTGGGCAAGGAGCAGCATGCAGCGGGCGAGCAGCCCCACGAGAACACGTGCCATGCGGGAAGGGGGGCGCAAGCATTGGCAAAAACTGGCATTCCTCCCCCAAACAGTGTGCCCGGACCCCCGGCGTGGCCCTGGGGGGACCCCGAGCCAGGGTGCTACCCCTGGCCAGGACGGGGGGGCTGGTCGCCCTTCGTGTAGGCACTTGGTTCCCTGCTAGGGGTGAGTGACTCGGGGACGGGGATGTCGGTCCCAGGACCTGCCGCCTCCCCCCTCTCTCCACCCCGCGTTGCCCCACGGCAGACTTGGCTAGGGGTGCGGGGACGGGGATGTCGGTCCCAGGACCTGCCGCCTCCCCCCTCCCCCACCCCGCGTTGCCCCACGGCAGACTTGGGGGGCCCTGGCTCCCTGGCTTCCCCCACTGTGGGATTGGCTTGGGGATGCTGTCGCTGGTGGCCCAAAGCCCCCAGCCTGGGGGCCCATGCCCACCCGGCCCCCACCCGGCCCCGCAGTCTCTCCGTGCCAGCCCCGGGGGCGGGTCGCCCTTCGTGTAGGCACTTGGTTCCCTGCTAGGGGTGAGTGACTCGGGGACGGGGATGTCGGTCCCAGGACCTGCCGCCTCCCCCCTCTCTCCACCCCGCGTTGCCCCACGGCAGACTTGGGGGGCCCTGGCTGGGCTGAATCCCCCACTGTGGGATTGGCTTGGGGATGCTGTCGCTGGTGGCCCAAAGCCCCCAGCCTGGGGGCCCATGCCCACCCGGCCCCCACCC